CGGCGTGAGTTTTAAGCCACCGAGTCCGGGACGCGAACCGTGGTCGACTACATGGGAGTCCAGCGACATAGCCATTACGCTAACTGCTGGTTCCCGTGCCCAAAATTCTGAGAGGAGAATGGAAGAGAAGGGATTGTGGCGTGGCCATCTCCCCAGGGGGTGGGGGGGTGATTTTTTCACTTTCTGTCTCTCCTTTGGGTGCATATGCCCTGTAGCAAAAATTTCTGTAAAACACACACACACACACACACACACACACAAATGAACAAAAAATACTAGAAGCACACTAGCTATGACAAATGGCTTGGAAATCTTGGGTAGAGAGAAGTGTAGGAAAGGTAGGGTCGCCCTGAGTGCGGGCACAGCTGGAACATCTGTCACCATAGCGCAGGGCTGGGCAGAAGCTGCAGAATGACAGAGCACTGAGCTCCCGCTGCAGTGAGGTCTGGAAACGGACAGGTGGCGCTCCTGTTCCGTTTTACAGGTAGGTTGTGGAACAGGACTCCAACCTAGGCTGATCAGACTTCTCGGCCACATTGCCCTGGGATGGGAGGCAGTACCCTGTGGCTGAGGGTGCGCTGGCTTTTTTTTTTTTTTTTTTTTGAGAGGTTTTTAGGGCATGTGTACTCGCCAGAAAGACAGACAGAAACAGAGAGACAGAAAGCAAGAAATCACACCCCCCACCCCTGCGGGGATGGCTACCCTGCAATCTCTTCTTCATTCTCCTCTCAGGATCTTGGGCATGCATGCACACACATGCACCCAGCATGAGTTTAAGCCACCGAGTCCAGGACTCGAACTGGTCGACTACATGGGAGTCCAGCGACATAGCCACTACGCTAACTGCTGGTCCTGAAAGTGTGGCATTTTGTCCTCAGATCTCTGTTCTCTACTGGTGGTGACCTCTCTCCCCTCCCCAAACCATGGGCTTTTTAAGGCTGAAGCAGAAGAGACCATTTTCTCCACATTGACTGTTTGGCTTGGGAATGACATGTTGACCGGAGGTGGCAAAGGTAAGGGACAGGGCACAAGCTGGAACTGAGAACCGGCTAAGGCCACCATTGGTGCCTTGGGCCTCTATGCTCTGTGACCAGCAGGGGGCAGCCTGTGTCTGGCCATGGCACCTCGTTTCCGTACTCCAGTTAGGGAACGCTGGTAAGGCCATCCCTCCTCTGGCTGGAGAGTGGCCGGTCTTTTCCAGACTGGTAGAATGTGTTCAGGTTTGAAGAGGTGAAACTGTTGAAGGTGAAATACCGAGTTCTTGGGGGAGCTGTCCAGCCTGAGTCCAAACTAGCATTCTGAGATGACTACTTCTCTAAAAGGAAGCTCCAAACCTCTGCAGTGAGGGGCGAGAACCGACAGTCTATGCACACACGGTGAATCAGAGCTAGACACACAGTCACGGAGCAAAACAATGTATTACTTCACGAGGAGCCGTAGGGAACGTGTGTGGTGAACGGGGGCACATTTTACATCATCTTTCTTTCCGTGTGCTGTGTGCTTTCCTCAGGAGTGGAACACACACACACACACACACACACACACACACACACGTAAGAGTGTACTAACCCTGGGGCCAGCAGGTGGCACGGTGATTAAGACGGTGGACTCCCTGGGACCAGCAGTTAACGTAATGGCTATGTCGCTGGACTCCCATGTAATCGACCGCAGTTCGAGTCCCTGACCCGGTGGCTTAAACTCACGCCGGGCATGTGTGCGTGCGTGCCCAAGATCCCGAGAGGAGAATGGAGGAGAAGGGATTGCAGTGTGGCCATCCCCCCTGGGGAGGTGATTTCTCGCTTTCTGTCTCTCTGTCTTTCTGGCGAGCGCACGCGCCCTATAGCAAAAACCTCTAAAAAAATAGTAACAATAAAGTTCATGCAAAGGACTATTTGAAATTTCTCAATAAATGCTAGTTAAATGGTGCATAAAATAGTAAATGCGTAGGAAGTCCTTGCAGAAGGCACTAGAAGATCAGTGGAGAGCTGGGTGTGAATCAGTCCACACCGCTCCACCAGCTGCACTCACTCCTCTCTAAGCCACCCGAGTCACCACTGTCCAAGTAAAACTGGGTGATTGCTAGCCACTTGCAGCTTATTTTTAAAACGAATTATTTTATTTAACTCTATTTATTTACTTTAACTTGACCAGAGACAGACAGAAAGAGAGAGAGAGGGAAAGTGAGAAAGCAAGCTGCCAGGTCCAGGACCAGGACTTGAACAGTGGTCGGTCATGTGGGACTCCAATGCCCTTAACCACCATGCCACCTGCCAGCCCCTCACCTGCAGTTTCTAAAGTCCTAGTAACCACCAATCAGCTTGTTTGTCTCTTTTTTTTTAAAAAAGGAAAAGAATGATTTTATTCAAGTTTATTTATCATTATTATTTTTTAATTTGACTAGAGAGACAGAGAGAGACAAAGTGAGAAAGGAAACTGCCAGGTCTGGGACTCGATCCACAGTTGGCCATGTAGGAGTCCCATTCCCTTAACCGCCACGCCACCTGCCCAGCCCCAGCTTGCTTCTCTTAGTTCCTTCATTTACCGAAATCCCATTGTAACCCAGGGGAGGCCCGACTCCAGAGAAAAGAAGGGGTGTGAGGGCCTGAGCTATCGAGCAACGGGAGAGAAAACAAGTTGATTTCTGGGCCCAGGGGGGCTCCTCGAGGCTTCTTCTGGGTAAAGGACTGGTCTTCTTGGACCTCAGAAGATAGAGGAACCACATCCTGGTCTCACCCGCCCACCGTTACCTTCCCACCAACCATCTAAACCGCATCCTCCCCTCACACACTGAGGTAACCAGAAAGCCGCCCTGTCTGGCCTCCTAGAAGCGCGGACTTCCATCAGGAACACACTGTCCTCTGGGCTGTGGGCCTGTGACGCCTGAGGTTCCAGGCAGTGGAGGTCCTTGGCGAGTGATGCGCGAGCCCGTTCTGTCGTAGGGAGCTCCCTGGTCCCATCTGGTGGCGCTCCTCCTCCATCCAGACTGCGTGGCTCAGGTCCCCCTCGTCACTGGACCCTCCGCCATGGCCTGGACGCTGCTGCTCATGTTTATCGTGGTGCATCCAGGTGACAGAGGGCTGCTCAGGTTTGGGGGGTGGAAAGGTGGGGCTGGGAGGGGGTAGGGACTGGGCTTGCCTGCCCCAGGGAGCAGGTTTGAGGGGGGCTGAACACTGGGCCCTGAGGGGTGTGGTGAGGCCTACCCACCTGCTGGGCTTCCCTGGTTCACAGGCCCTGCACCGTGCCCAGTACGAGGAGCGTCCTCCAGCTTCCATCCCACCGCCCTTTCTTAGCCACCTTCCTAATAAGAAGGTGAAGAGACCAGTGAGGGGGCAGGTGGCATGATTGTTAAAGGCGCTGGACTCCCACATGGCTGAGCGTGGCTCAAGTCCTGGAACTGGTGGCTTGCTTTCTCACTTTCCCTCTGTCTCTCTGATCATACTGTAAAATAATAATAATAAATAAAGTTAAATAATTCTTTTTTTTTTTTTTTTTTTGGAGATATTTTCTCTATAGGGCGCGTGCACTCACCAGACAGAGAGACAAAGAGACACAAAGCGAGAAATCAACCCCCGGGGATGGTCACGCCGCAATCCCTTCTCCTCCATTCTCCTCTCGGGATCTTGGGCACGCACGCACACGCGCCCAGCGTGAGTTTTAAGCCACTGGGTCCGGGACGTGAACCGCGGTCGACTACGTGGGAGTCCAGCAACATAGCCATTACGCTAACTGCTGGTTCCCAAATAATTCTTTTAAAAAAGAAAAAAGAAAAGATCAGTGGAAAGGGCTTGAAGGAAGGGGCCTGACATTTAGGTTTGCTTTTTTAAGGGCTCAGGGTTTTGTTTTTTGTTTTGTTTGTTTGTTTTGCCGTAGGGCAAATAGGCTCACTGGAAAGAAATGGAGAAAAAAAGAGAGAAGAAAAGTGAGAAATCATTCCCCGGAGAGGGTGGCCCTGCCACAGTCCCTTCTCCTCCATTCTCCTTTTGGGAGTTTGGGCACGTGTGCACATGAGCCCAGTGTGATTTTCTTTCTTTAAAAACAATAATTTATTCCGTTTTATTTATTCTTATTTTTAAAAATTTGCTATCGAGCACATGTGCTCACCCAGAGAGAGAGAGAGAGAGAGAGAGAGAGAGAGAGCAAGCCGCCAGGTCTGGGACTCAAGCCATGGTCAGCCATGTGGGAGTCCAGAGCCCTAACCACCATGCCACTGCTGGCCTCTTGTCTTAGTTTTCTAAGTCTGCAGAGGGCCTGTGCACGCTCTGAGAAAAGGGGGGGCATTGAGAAAGCACCCCAACAGGGGATGGTCACGCCACAATCCCGTCTCTCCACTTCTCCTTTCGGGATTTGGGCATGCGTGCATCCCGCATAGTTTTCAAGCCCTAGGTCTGGGGCTTTGAGTCCCACACAGTGGGCCATGTGGGGTCTTATTGCCTTAACTTTCCCACTTTCTGTCATTTCTGTTTTTGAATGTTTACTTATTTATGACTGTGTGTGGCTTATTTATGACCCCCACACACGGAAGGGAAACCCCGAGACGGGATTTTATCATGCCGTGACCCCTTTCCCAGGCTCTCCAGCTCATCAGGACCCTGGACACATACACACGTGCCTGGCGTGTGTTCAGGCCCACCTGGGGATCTGACTCTGCGGCCAGCCTGCTTCCGGGATTGCAGTTCAACTTGCCGTCAGCTGTGCTGCCAGGCTGGACCCGAAGATAAATTTCTTAGTGAAACTGGGGACCAGCAGTTAGCGTAAAGGCTATGTCGCTGGACTCCCACGTAGTCGACCGCGGTTCATGTCCCAGACCCGGTGGCTTAGAACTCACGCCGGGCACGTGTGCGTGCGTGCCCAAGATCCCGAGAGGAGAATGGAGAAGGGATTGTGGCGTGACCATCCCCCCGGGGGGTGATTTCTCACTTTCTGTCTCTCTGTTTCTCTCTGTCTGGCTGGCGAGCACACACGCCCTATAGCAAAAACCTCTCCAAAAAAAAAAATTTCTTAGTGAAACTGATTTTTTTTAAATGTTATTTTTTGGCATGTAAACTTATCAGAGAGAGAGAGAGAGAGGAAGTGAGGATTTACCCCCCAGGGGAATGGCTACACTGCAATCCCTTCTCCTCCATTCTCCTCCTGGGATTTTGGGCATGCACACACACGTGTCTTGCATGAGTTTAGTATGAGTTTCAAGCCACCGGGTCCGAGAATTGAACCACGGTTGGCTATGTGGAGTCCAGCACCTTAGCTACCACACCACTTGCTGGCCCCAAGTGAAACTGATTTTAATGAATGGAGAGACTTTAAATACCAGCCATATTTATGAGATACATTAGGGCTTCTCAAGGAGTGGGCTTCAGACCTACAGCTTCAGCAACACCTTGGTTTTCTAAGTTTGCAGAGGGCCTGTGCACTCTCTGAGAAATGGCGGGGGGAGGGTGTAATTGAGAAAACACATGGGCCCAGAGTGTCTGTCTTCTCTTGCTTTCTTTCTTTCTTTCTTTCTTTCTTTCTTTCTTTCTTTCTTTCTTCTTTCTTTCCTTCTCTCTTTCTTCTTTCTTTTTTTCTTCTTCCTTTTTCTTTCTTCTTTCTCCTTCTTTCTTCTTTCTTTCGGAGAGGATTTTTTGCTATAGGGTGCATGCACTCGCCAGAAAGAGAGAAACAGAGAGATAGAAAGCGAGAAATCACCCCCCAGGGGGGATGGCCATGCCGCAAGCAATCCCTTCTGCTCCATTCTCCTCTCGGTGAGATCTTGGACACGCACGCACACGCGCCCTGTGTGAATTTAAGCCACCGGGTCCAGGACTTGAACCGCAGTAAATTACATGGGGGTTCAGCAACATAGCCATTACGCCAACTGCTGGTCCCCCCCGAATGTTTTTCAAGTCACTGGGGTCTAAATTCAAACTGCTCAGTCACGTGGAATCTGGCTACCTTAACCACTAGGCCAAAGGACCAGCCCTAGAGTATTGCTAAAATGCATTCCTGGGCCCAGGAATTGCCCAGAATCCGGGCAAATTCTCAGACCCGTCCAGGCCTACTAGACTGAAAACTCTGGGAGTGGGCCAGGAACCCATTTTAGCTACTATTCTAGGGCTGGCCCTTTGGCCTAGCGGTTAAGGTAGCCAGATTCCATGCGACTGAGCAGTTTGAATTCAGACTCCGGTGGCTTGGAAAACACTCTGGGCACATGTGTGTATGTGCCCCAAATTCCAAGAGGTGGAGGAATGGAGGAGAAAAGATTGTGATGTGACCACGCCCCATTGGAAGGGGCGTTTTCTCTCTCATTGTCTCTGTCTCTCTCAGGTGAGCGCACATGCCCTTTGGCAAATGAAAACAAACAAAACCAAATGCTCTAGGTAATTCTGACACACATGGAATTTGAGAACCACTGGAATACAATAGGTAGGGCCAGCCTGGTGGTGTGGTGATGAAGATAGCAGGACCCCACGTGACAGACCTGGCCCCCTGGGGGCCCTGGTGGGAGTGTGTGCATGTGTGCCCCTAATTCAGAGCAGACCACAGAAGGCATGGCGGCATGACCACCCTCCCGGCAAGAAGGGGGGTGTGTAACCTCTCTCTCTCTCACTCTCTTTCTCTCTGCTGAGCATATGCACTCTACAGCAAACCAGAAAAAAGAAAGAAAGAAAGAAAAAGAAAGAAAGGAAGGAAGAAAGAAAGGAAAAAGGGCCAGCAGGTGGCGTAGTGGTCAAGGCTTTAAACTCCCACATGGCTGACTCTGGTTTGAGTTCCAGACTCAGAGGCTTAAAACTCAAACTGGGCACATGTGCGGCTGTGCCAAAAATTCCTAGAGGACCATGGAAGAGAAGAAATTGCAGCATGGCCATCCCCCTGGGGAGATGATTTCTTGCTTTCTGTCTCTCTGTCTCTCCAGTGAGTGCCTAGGCCTGATAGCAAAAATCTCTCTAAAAAAAAAAAAAGGAAATAAAGAAAAGGGGAGACCAGGTATACTGGCTATGTCGCTGGACACCCATGTAGTCAACTGCACTTCGAGTCCCAGACCCGGTGGCTTAAACTCACACCAGGCACATGTACATATGTGCCCAAGATCCTGAGAGGAGAATGGAAGAGAAGGAATTGCAGCGTGGTCATCCCCCCTGGGGGGTGATTTCTCGTTTTCTGTGTCTCTGTCTCTCTCTGCCTTTCTGGCAAGTGCACATGCCCTATAGCAAAAACCTCTCAAAAAAAATTAATAATAATAATCTCAGCCAGTTACAGCCACGTCTTCACCCGATGATTTAATTAGCTAATGCTCTTTAACAATAACAACAAAAAAGTAGTAAGGATGATTTGCTATAGCATGCCATTAGTACTAAAATAATACCAGTAATACTATAATTAATTATATTAATTAACCAGGCAGCCACACTTACTAATGAGTTTTAATCTCACTGTGACAAATAAAATCTCACCAGGACAAGGTACTAGTGAACTAGCTGGAGAATGATGGGAGAGGGTGGGTGCTGGTATGGGAAAGAATTTGAAAAGCGATTTAATAAGCAATGTTAAGAAATTAGACTGGTGGCACCAGTGGATGGCGTAATGCTTACATTGCTGGATTCCCACATAGTCGACCGTGGTTTAAGTCCTGGATCAAGTAGTTTAAAACTCAAGCCAGGCAGGACCAGCAGTTAGTGTAATGGCTATGTTGCTGGACTCCCACGTAGTCCACCGCGGTTCGAGTCCTGGACCCGGCGGCTTCAACACACGCCAAGCACGCGTGCGTGCCCAAGATCCTGAGGAGAATGGAGGAGAAGGGATTGTGGCGTGGCCATCCCCCCGGGGGGTGATTTCTCACTTTCTGTCTCTCTGTCTGGTGAGCACATGCGCCCTATAGCAAAAAGCTCTCTCTAAAAAGAAAAAAAAAATCTCAAGCCAGGTGTGTGTGTGTGTGCATGCGTGCCCAAAATCCCAAGAGGAGAAAGTATTTTGGTGAGGCCATCCCCCCTAGGGGGTGATTTCTCACTTTCTGTCTCTCTGTCTCTTCAGTGAGCACACGTGCCCTATAGCAAAAAGCTCTCTCTAAAAAGAAAAAAAAATTATGTTGATAAAGAGGTAAGGGTTTAATGAAGTGCCCATAGTGTTTGTCCCCGTGCCCCCTATTTGGGAGGACAACTGGGATATTATTATTTTGTTTTGTTGTGGTGTGTGTGTGTGTGTGTGTGTGTGTGTGTGTGTTTGAGAACGGTTTTTGCTATACCAAAAAAAGAAAAAAAAAATCTCAAGCCAGGTGTGTGTGTGTGTGTGTGTGTGTGTGCATGCGTGCCCAAAATCCCAAGAGGAGAAAGTATTTTGGTGAGGCCATCCCCCCTAGGGGGTGATTTCTCACTTTCTGTCTCTCTGTCTCTTCAGTGAGCACACGTGCCCTATAGCAAAAAGCTCTCTCTAAAAAGAAAAAAAAATTATGTTGATAAAGAGGTAAGGGTTTAATGAAGTGCCCATAGTGTTTGTCCCCGTGCCCCCTATTTGGGAGGACAACTGGGATATTATTATTTTGTTTTGTTGTGGTGTGTGTGTGTGTGTGTGTGTGTGTGTGTGTGTTTGAACGGTTTTTGCTATAGGGCGTGTGCGCTTGCCAGAAAAACAGAGAGAGACAGAAAGCAAGAAATCACCCCCCAGGGAGTCTGGCCACACCGCAATCCCTTCTCCTCCATTCTCCTCTTGGGATCTTGGGCATGCACACACAAGCGCCAGGCATGAGTTTAAGCCACCAGGTCTAGGACTCAAACCGCAGTCGACTACATGGGAGTTCAGTGACAAAGCCATTACACTAACTGCTGGTCCCCCAGCTAGGCTATTGCTGTACCCCACCTGCATTGTCTTTTCTCACTGGAGTAAGCAGGCAGGCGTGTTCCGGGTCTCTTCTCTGTTCCTAGGGTCCTGTGTTCTCTGGGTGTCCCAGCCCCCCGAGATGCTTACCCAGGAGGGAGCGACTGCCTTCCTGCCCTGCTCCTTCAATGTCAGCCCAGGGAGCCCGGCCATTGGCTCTGTCATATGGTACCGAGACGCCGTGGCCCCAGGGAAGGAGGTGAGGAACCAGACACCCGAGTTCAGGGGCCGCCTGGTGCCCCTGGCCTCTTCCCGCTTCCTCTGGGACCACCAGGCTGATCTGCACATCTGGGACGCCCGAGGCCAGGACGCAGGCACCTACGTGTGCACAGTGGAGGTGCTGGGCCTGGGTTTCGGGACCGGAAACGGGACGCGGCTGGTCGTGGAGAAAGGTGAGAGCTGGGAGAACCTCCCCGACTCTGTCCTGGAAGGCAAGGACCCTCCCTGAGACCCTGCCCTCTGCCCCTCCTGAGCCTAGGCACTTCCACGGAGCCGGAGCCGCTTCCTCTCCACTGCCCTGGAGCAAGGCTCTCTCAGCTGGGAGCCAGCACAGCCCTCTTCCTCCGGGCAGCACTCTGTGCCTCGGGCTTTCTCTTTGTGGCCCTGGGAAGCAGCTTCTATTACCTCGGCAAATGTGAGTAACTGGGAGGGGTGGAGGAGTGGCAGGGGGAGGGCAGAGCCGGGAAGAGGAGAGCTTCTGGGCTGTGGCCTTGAGCAGCTCCTGTGGTCTCTCCCCTCAGGCCACTGTCAAAGGGGAGCACCCAGCTCCTCCTGGGACCTCCCGTAAGGACCTCTTCACGAATCTCGAAAATCCCTCTGGGCCCCACTGACTCCCGCTTCATGAGTCCTGCGTATTCTCCATTCCCGAATGCCCCAGTACGCCCCTCGGGAGGCCACTCTCAACTCTCCCGTCCACCAAGGCTGACCCGGAAAGGTCTAGGCCCCCAGTGGAGTACGTTTTAAGACAGAGACAACCTGAACAGTGGCTTTTTCCAGGCCCCCAACACATGAAGAAGATAATGTTTTTTATGGTCCAAAGCTTTTAGATAAAGAATCTTCCCACCCACTCCAAAACTACAACAGTTGCTGAACCCACCCAGCACGTGCCCCCTCCAGGAGAGAAACACATGCAGAACCTCCCCTGAAACAAGCCCCACAAAAGCCCCTCTGACCCAGATGAAGGCAAACTGCCCCGGCTGCTGTTCGGCATCCTGTTTTCAGGACCCACTCCTGCTTGGGGCGCTCAGTTCTCCCTCCCCGCTCTTAATAAACTCTGCCTGCTATCCCGCTCCGTGTCCGCATCTCTAATTCTTCGCGGGCGTGGGACAAGAACCTGTATCCCTCTGCGAGTGCTGGGCCTGCCCGCCCCTCTGCTCCACCTGTCCCTGTGTCACAGGGCCTTCACCTTTCTTCACCCAATAAATCGTGACTTGACCCCTGAGTAAGTGGGAAGTTAGCCACTGAAGATTTTTTTTAAATTTATTCATGTTGGCGTGAATATGAGAGAGGCCCTCTACAAAGTCTGGTTGTGCAGCAAACCCCTTCCTCGGTCTTCCAGCTCAATGGCTCGTGGGCATTGTGTGCCCCTTGCCCTGTGCTGCAGGCAGATTGGGCTGGGATTTGAACCCTGAGGCCTCCAGAACGAGCTGTGGCGTGCCTGTGCCACCAGGGCTGGGCCAAGCCACTTACGTTTTGATGGTCATTTGGAATGGGGGTTCAAGCTGGACTGAGACGCTTGACCGCAGAAGGCGGTAAGACCATTGTCTTTACGGTGACCCGTGGGATGGGAGAGGCGTCGGGGCAGCTCAGGTGGGCTTGTTCTTGGCAATGCAGGCATAGTCGGAGCTGGGGTCTGCTTTGGTGCCTTCTTCTCTGTCCCCAAGGTCAGGGCCCTCGCCGCTGGGCCCCGGAAGCCTCTGCAGGGATGCGTAGTGGAGCTCCTGATCCCGGAACTGGGCCTGTGGCTAGGGCAGAGGTGCTGAGGGAGGGCCCGCCGCGCCCTCCGGCCCTTCCCTGTAAGCTCTGCCCCCGCCTCCCCTCTGGCCTCTCCCACTCCGCTGCCTCCTCGGTCTCCTTTGCTCTCTAAGCTCCTCTGCCCTCTTTGCAGGCTTCTCCGATTTCCTCTTCCCTTCTCCACTGCCCGGTCTCCCCACGTCCACCCCATTTCTCTCCTTTCTTCTTATGCTCATTATTTTTCTTTTTGCCTCTCTCGGCTTCTTGTCCCTTAACTGTCTAATTCTCTAATGTTTTGTCTGATCTTCCTCAGAGACAGAAAGCGAGAAATCACCCCCCGGAAGGATGGCCACGCCGCAATCCCTTCTCCTCCATTCTCCTCTCAGGATCTTGGACACACACGCACACGCGCCCGGCGTGAGTTTAAGCCACTGGGTCCGGGACGCGAACCGCGGTTGACTACATGAGAGTCCAGCGACATAGCCATTATGCCAACTGCTGGTCCCTATCTCCTCTGTCTCTCACATGCTCCTACTTTCTCCTATCACCTGGCCCTGACCTCAGCCCTCAGTCCCGCTATCTCTCAGCCCCTTGGGCCCTCTTGATCTCTCCCTTCCCTGCCCCAGACTTACCCAGTTTCTCTCCAGCCTCGTTACTGGAAAAAAAGAAGCAGCTCAGGAGAGCACCCCCTCCCCCCAGGCTCGCCCGCCCTCCGCTGGACCCCTGCCCCTCCCGGCATTTGCTGACTTGCCCACCCACCCGTGGCCCCGGGCTCTCTCCTTGGACGGCCTTCTCTCAGCTCTCCCATCTACTGTCCGCCATCGTCCCCACCCAGGGCCTGTGGGGATGGACAGGGCCATCGGGGAAGCAGGAGGGACCCTGTGAGTGGGTGAATGAGGGAGCGGAGGGGGCTCACCTCTCTGACGGAACCGGCACAGACAGGCGGACAGAATGACCACAGCCAGGAGCAGGAGCCCGCCCAGCCCCAAGCCCCCGTAGAGGTAAGGCCACACCTCTGTAGGGCAAGGCGACATCTCTGTAGGGGAGAGGGGCACGTATCAGAGGATCCACTTCTCCCTCGGCCGACCCATCCTCCTGGTTGGCTGACTGTCTCAACTCCCCACTCCAACAGTTCCCCCCCTCCCAAGAGATTGGGGCCTTAGGGCGTGTGTGGGAGAAAGAGAAAGAGACAGCAAGAGAGCAATCACTCCCCAGGGAGGATGGCTATGCCGTACTTCCTTCTCCTCTGCTCTCCTCCTAGGATCTTGTCACGCATGCACATATGCCCGGCACCGGGTCTGGGATTCGAACCGCGGTCGACCACATGGGAATCCAGCGACATAACTAGTATGCCATCTGCTGGACCCTGACTAGCGCACTTTTTTTTTTTAATTTATTTTTTAT